CAATATTCTTACTCAAATAATGAGCGATAAATGCGTTTTTTTGTTATCTCAGACAGCTTTTTATTATAATCCTTCTACATATCCAGACAAACGATTATCTCCCATAAAACACGTCACTTTATGTTTTAACATTCTCATTAAGGAAAACATTAGCAAGAGAATTTCAATACTGTAATCTTTTCGATATGCCTACAATTCTAATGTGTTAATCGTCGAGAAATTTCCAGATATTAAAGTTAAAGCACGACTAACATTCGTGTGAAGGTGCACTGGTTAACGTCTGAGGATTTATGGCACCATGCATATAGCATAAACTAAGTAAATTTCATGAAGTTTTATATTTTTGACAAATCAAGACAGAGCCTCGCTTTCTGGTTAAGGAAACATACTAAGAAGTAAATTAAAATGAGTACCATTGAAACAGTTCTGTAATAATCTTCTTTTTCTGGGGGGAGGGGGGGGGGAATAATGGTATATGTTTTTGGAAACTTCCATTTTAATATCGTCGAGTCTATATGTTTTATAAACAGGACTTCATCGGTAGACTGCATTGTCCGACAATACATCCTCTTATTTTTATAATACAATATGGTACATGTACAGCAGGAATAGAATAATTAACTGTTATTTTCTCTTGCCAAAGATAATGTTGAGTTCTTGTCTTGCGATTACAGTGTGAAAGACACTGTTTGCAATCATTTGGAAGCGGGCTATTATGTAGAAGATACGACTGTGTGTATATTGTTGGGCTTTTCCGTGATTAAGTTAAGGAATTAACTCAGTTTCGTTAACTCTCAAGAACTGTACACAGTCCTAAACATCTACAAAGGACTACACACGCGTGTGACATGAAATTGTGTTCTACAAACTCCAGAAATGTCCAATCATATTCGGACATGACGGCATTTGTAGAGCAGTCCTCTCTAGGTGACATATTCTACAATTTTCTTCAACACTACCATACAAAAGGATGAGAAATCCCACAATGTATTATTTGACCTTTCTCAGAACTCAACTTTCTTTTTCCTTACGTCGGTTCTATGTATAGAAACATGACTAGACGTTGCTTAAAGGCATTGTTTAACAGCGTTAAATATGAGATGCATGGCTCTACGTGTCATCAGTGCCTGTAATATGGTGAAGTGTTGAAGCCCTAAACAATTTTCGCTTCAAAATGATCATGAAGTGCCTCACAAAAGTAAACATATTTGAGTGACCGGTTTTACCATACTCATTTCCCCAATAGACAGCAGTATTTAAAAATCCGTAAAAAGGTAAACGTTTTTTGAAATTTCGATTTCCAATCACAAATATCTTGATAATGAGAAAGGATCATGAAGTGCCTCACAAAAGTAAACATATTTGAGTGACCGGTTTTACCATACTCATTTTCCCCAATAGACAGCAGTATTTAAAAATCCGTAAAAAGGTAAACGTTTTTTGAAATTTCGATTTCCAATCACAAATATCTTGATAATGAGAAAGGCGATCGGCTTGTACAAGTCATGGGGTCCCTGACTGACCTAAAGGTTTCTAATTATCATTGCAGCATGAGCAGGATTTTGTTTCAGAATCTGAGGCAATGTTACCGAGTCACTTTAATATTGCTCGACTGATTGTTGTCTAGTATGCGGTAACCAGTCAGGTGTATCCTATTGAGATGTAATCCAGTTGTCAATGAGAAATCCTTCTTCTTTCATTCATGTATGAATACATGCTGAGATTTAGTCGCTCTGTCTGGATCCTAATAGGATCATCCACCATCAATCATGTCAGTGTATGGGGGCAGTATACAAATGACTTTGTCTCAGATTCTGAAACAAAATTCTGGATTTAAATCATGCTGCAATGATAATTACAAACCTTTAGATCAGTCAGGAACCCCATGACTTTCTAATTATCAAGATATTTATGATTGGAAATCGAAACCAAATTTGCGTTTTCATAATGATTTCCATAACTGCAGTCTATCGGGGAAATCTAGTATGGTAAAACCGGTCACTCAAAAGTTTTTACTCTTTTGAGGCACTTCTTGATCATTTTGAAGCGCAATTTTTTCTAGGGCTTCAATATTACACCATATCACAAACATTGATAACAAATAGGGCCGTGCATCTGAGATTTAACATTGTTAAACGATCCCTTCAATTTAAGCATGCTTTTTCACCAGAAACCCTGGCTACGAAATATCAACTGCTATTACTAAAGGCACGTCTATACGTTTAGTCCTATTTGCAAACATTATTTGTTGGTACGGTTTACAACTAGACTACTAGTAAATTTGATGTTTTATGTTGGTTTAAATGTAATTTAAGAATAAAAGGTGAACTGGTTGACTTAGGCCTTTGTTGAATACTTGATCAAGCAGTGCGTATACACAAGAGTGTATCCAACTTTGGAGGCTCCTGATAAAAAAATCATTATCAATATGACCATGAAATCTATTAACTGATTAAAAGTAAATTGTTTCACGTCCTATGATTTCCTTTTTATGATATTTCTGTCACGGGTGACTGAACACTAGGGCTTTTAATACAAAAGTTTCGTCAAAATCGCCTTGCACCACGTTTGGGCTGATGGAACTAATGTGGGTCAGACCATCTGCATATGCTTTTTTGTTCTTAAACCCATTTCAAAATTAAATTATGTCCCGTGCTTCAGTGCTAAATTGGTCTTCACAAGGCTTTCACAGAACCTTGTCTCAATTTATAGGATAACCTTTAATTAATTTGAACAGCCTACTAACCTCTTGTCTCACGATATCTAAGTTCTCTCTGCTCACTTGTCCGCTGCGCCGTTTCATGCAAAAGGAGCATCGGGTGGTTATCTCGAATGGCGAATGAAAACTAAAATGCAAGCAAGAACGCATATAATAACAATAATAATAATAATCATAATAATAATAATGATAATAATAGTGATAATAAAAGTGATAATAATAGTGTTAATAATAATGATAGTAATAATTATAATAACAGTGATAATAATAATGGCAACAACATTTAAAATCCGCACACATCCAACCCAATGGAGGCTCAAGGCGCCTCAACAAATTTAGGAAATTATTACCCTGGCTTTAGCTGTGCTGAAAATACGGCCCTCTAGCATTTCAAGGAATTAATTCCTACCAGGTACCTATTTAAATCACTCTGGGTTGAAAGTGGCAAATGTAGATCAATGTCTTGCCAAAGGAAATTAGTGTCGCGGTGGGACTCGAACCACGGACTTTGTGATCGTCAGTCCGTTGATGTATCCACTCAATAAAGACACCTCTTTAATGATAATCATCAAATAAATTGACAGTAGACTTTCATAAAAAAAGACAAAATCCACAAACTAATTATCCATCTTGTATCACTCATTGATCTAAGAAGGGTAACCTTACACAAGGGATGCGAATGAATTAAAGATTTTAATCATCATAACGAAGAGTTTGTCATGAATTGTGTTTGTAATAATTAATTTTGTAACGTTTGAGTCTATATTAACCCTTGTCTTGTTACATGCTGAACAGTCAATGTAAATAAATGAGCAATTGCTTTTGGAATGTTTCAGCCCAAACGTGGTTCAAGTAGATTTTGACAATACTTCTTGAAAAGCATGTTGCTCAGTCATCCATGGCAGCACAAGTATGAATATGGTTTTATTAGACAAGATATTAGTTACTCTTTACCGTGAAATACGTTCCAAGCTTAAACGTTTTAATTAGAACCATCAAATGTGGGTACACATTTTATTGATAAGCACTGTATAGCGAAAAGGTTGATTCAAGCTTAGGGCCTTTTTTGAATGCTTGTAGATGAAAGCTTTATATGTCACATTCTCAAGAAGCATAAATCGAAACAAATACATTTTCACATTCTTAAAAAAGTTATAACATTTTTTGGTAAGGATATTACAAATCTAGTTGTTAACTATATGCCTGGCATGCAATCTTCTAGCGATTTGGAGTTGGGAATGGAAATCTTTCGTCAAACACTATTCATGAAGTTATACTACGTTCTACAACTAATGGTACAGTTAACACCAACATTATTCATACCACTTGTAATTTTGACGTTTTTTGGTGTCTATTTTCCATAACTCAAGAAGGAAAGGTGGACTGGTTAAATAAGGGCTTCGTTAAATACTTTTATATAATCAACTTTAAAGTGTCACATTCTCAAGAAACATAAAACGGGACAAATTAATTTGTCACATACTTAAAAAAGTACAAAACTTGGTATAAAGGGTATGAATAATATAACTGCATAGTACTGATTTCACTTTACGCTATAAAAACCAACATACATTTAACGGAAATATTTCAAGCTTTGGTCGTGCCGTCTTTTCAGATAACATTATGGATGGCAAGGTCCCCAAAATATCAACCTGTTCATTGCAACAGCCTTGATCGTCACCTAAATGAAACGTGCGAATATGACACTGACATATTTGCACATTTCCAGTACCGCAGATTTTAACATGATTTGTAATAGGCAATATAATATTTAGGAGGTGTCGTTGTCTAGTGGATACGTTGATGGACTTTAACTCTCGTGGCTCGCGGTTCGAGTCCCACTGCGACACTTATGTTCTTTAGCAAGATGTTAATCTACATTTGCCACTTTCCACCCTGGTGTAGTAAATGGCTAACCGATAGGAATATTTCCTTGAATGCTTGAGCACCTTATCATGGTTGCTCGGCTAGAGCTGGTGAAGCATTATGATTACAAAGCCCCCATCGAGAAGAGTATTTTACTGCTGAGGTTACCCTGCAAAAACGAAACATAATAATATTATCCTTATTTTCTTTTATTACTATTATTATTATTACTATTACTATCATTATGGTTACTATTGTTATTATTAATAATAATACTATTGTCATCATCATTATCACTATTACAGGATACTGACATTGTCCTTTTGTTTATTTCATTGTGTGTGGTTAAAGTGAATTCAATCTTCTTTAAATAAGGCATTCTTATATCCATGTCGTTATATTATTTCATTAACAGGAAGTAGAAGTGCATAATCCCGTTTCGGCTGAAGAGAGTATTCCTACAGAACAGCCGGACACAGCGCCACCAACGGACGTGACAGGAGGAGTTGAACAAGACACCCCAGAACAGCCCGATACAGCGCCACCAACTGACGAAACCGAAGGCGTTGAACAAGACACCCCAGAACAGCCCGATACAGCGCCACCAACTGACGAAACCGAAGGCGTTGAACAAGACATGGACAGTCCGCCCGCTGATGACGCAATAGCTGGTGAAAGCGACTTTCCTCCACCTCCAGAAGACGTAACCTCCCCACCAGAACCCGACCCCAGCGACGAGGTTGACCATGAAGTCAATGACGTCACCGACCTTATAGACAGTGCTGTTGAACCGGAAGTAGATGACACCGTCGAACCTACTACGACTGAAAACGAGGTCAATCCGCTAGACGAGGAGATTCAACCAACTTCTGAAGTCACAGAACAATCTGAGCTCGATTCTCCAGAGTTAGCCAACGGAGAAAGCACGCCTCCACCGATGTATGACGAAGCAGCTGAGACTGAGAAGTCTTCACCAGTTTATCAGAACGGCATGGTCGCTGATGACCCGGATGGCATCACAAGTCTGGACGATGAAGTTCCCAATGGTCACGGCATGAATGGCGATCAGGATCCAATCATTATGATGTACTCCGATGACAAGACGTCGTCGACGAAGGCCAGATTGATCTGTTTCGTCATGTGTTTCGTCGTGGTGGCCGTTACGGTTATTGCTCTTGTCTTCTACGTTGTTGGTGAATATAAAAGTCTATTGATATAACAATATATTGTGACTGATTGCCAAACAAAATCAAATCAAGAAGGAAATTTGAAAATATCAAATAATATTGATTTGACCATTTAATGTTAGTGTTTCAAGAAAGAACAATTATTCGAAGGTCAGATCAGGTGGTTTCATTTTTGGATGACAAAAATGGATAAAATAAAGTGGCAAATGTCGTAACAGATATATTGCACTGAATCCCTCTATTAATGGGTGTTAGTGCATCGACAAGTTTCAATCAACATGATTAACCCGTCTCCCCAAAGGACCCAAATTAGACTTAACTTTTAACAAATTACGATTATGTTAACAAAATCCAGTATTTAAAAAATGTATTTGATTGTAGCTGATTACCTCTATTGCAACGTCTATATTCACGGTATACGGTACAGCATAGGGCACGATTAAAAAATGGCCCGCCTTATAAAAGCCCTTCTCGCCCAGAAAATTTCGTGGGATAACATTACTATTTCGTCTTCTTTAAAACATCACCCTACTCTTTCTGATATGTTTTGTATCCATCTCTGCCCTACAACTTTGAATGTTTCTGCATTCCGCATTTCTCCTAAAAAAAAGATTAGTATGGTAGCGTAAAACATATTATTTATTGCTCTGCTGCCATACCATATTTCTACAGGGAAAGTTATGTCTTCAATGCTGATACAGTTTCCTTTCATTTCCTCTCTTTGTTGCAGTTTATTTGGGCATTGGGGAAAGTTCAGACGGTTCAGGAGACACGATGACTACAACACCTAGTATTCCATGTAAGTACGCCAGGATACACTTCTGAGGTCATTCTAAAGCCTTGTTCGGTGAACCGTCGCTCTGTGATTAAACAAAATATTGTGCCGAAAGTGTAAGCACTTCAATGATCACATTCTAAAAACTAAATATGCTCAATCACCATTTAAAGGCATCGCTTAACAACGTTAAATCTGAGAAGCACGGCCCTGCGTGTAATCAGTGTCTGTAATATTGAAGCCCTAGCATATTTGCGCTTCAAACTGATCAAGAAGTGCCTAAAAAAAGTAAACATCTTTGAGTGACCGGTTTTACCACACTCATTTTCCCCAATTGACTGTAGTGTCGTGAAAAACCGTTAGGTAAACGAATTATTCAATTTCGATTTCGAATCATTCATATCTTGATAAGTGTAAACCTGCAGGTCAGTCAGGAACCCCATGATTTTTACAAGCCGATAGTCTGTCCGATTATCAAGATATTGAACAAAAATAAAAGTACTGGTATAATAATATACACTGTGAGAAAACTATTCTTACACGACAGATTCTGCCATTGCATTGTTGGTGTTTCGTTTCTTTATTTATTACAGTAATAACGTTTTAATATTGCGAGAGAAATGCATACAAACATATACAACTCACCCAACAATTAAAAAAGAAAAAACAAATTTGGGATAGATGGCCGAAATTCGGAAGAAGATCTCAAGATGAAACAAAAGAAATCTGTATTAGAACAAAATAAAATATCTACGAATCTCATTTTTGTTGTTTTACATTTTTACATTTGCCTTTACCAAAAAAGTTAAGTTCTATGATAGTCCGTTTTTTGATCAATGCTTGCTAACATTCCAGGGTGTACTTTTATTATTTCTTCTCTACAGGATCCCGAGCAGAGCAAAACCAGTATTGGTCCTCGTCATCACCATGGGAACAAGGAATTTTCAGGTTGTAATATTGCCAAAATGGAGTCATGAACATTCACCATTATACTCAGTGGACATATTCTGATAAAATCCCGTCAAACGTACGTGTGGTGCCTGAAAATACTTTAGAGTGAGGACAGAATTTGAAGTGAAGCGAAGATATCCTGAGAACAGTTTTAACTTTATTTATTGAAACTTTTTTTGGTCATAACAAGTTTCCATTTCTAATTTTTTTCACCGCCGTTGGTACAAATGCGTGCATCAATGATGCGATCATAAGTAAAGATTTGTTATGACAATTATTTCACGAACATTACAAATAGAATAAGAAAAAAAATCTCTAATGATACAATTCAAGACGTACTTGGCTAAAGAGGCTTGGAGTAATGGACATCACCCAGACACAACTTGAGAAAACCGAGTACAGAGGAATACTTGGAAAACTGCGAATAACGTGCAGTGAATTGAGAGCCCTCAACGTTCAATTCAAAACAGTTTGTATAAAATACATGGGGGAATCCTTTCAAAGTCAACGCAATGTTGATGTGGGTAAACTATTTTAAAACCCCTGAAGAATTGGTCATTTAGAAATAACTTCCAAATTGCAAACATATGAAATAAACGTGTCCACAGCAGTAATTCTTAAAACAAAAATGTATTTGACTGTAGATGATTTCCCATACATTTGACAAATTACTAGACATGGAACTGTAAGGGCGATACATATATTGTGTGTTGTTTTCTGTTTCCCAAGTATTTACTTGTACTGAGTCTTTCCAAAGTTGTTCCTGAATGGTAATGGTAATCGCAATGGTAATTTTGGAAGATTTTTTTTTTTCTCTCTTGAATATTTTAAGTTATGCAAAGATCAATAGGCTGATATAATACCAATGATTTAAACATTTTCTCTTGGTATATGGATGGGCTGAGCAGCATTTCTTGTAATACGACTCCTGAGAAACATCCAATATAATCAATTTAGTTCAAGGATCAAGCAACTTTAAAAAACATATAGAATGATAGTTCAAACGTTCTTTGAAATTTTACAGCTCACATTTTTCACGATTTGCAAATATTCGATTGCTTTTACATGCATGTATATACTTTACAGTAAAATTTGTATTATCAATACTCCCCAATTTCCTGGTTTTATAGAATAGTCGTGCTTAACTGGCTTACAGTTTTCAGTATATTTAATATGTTTTATTTGTGTGATGTATTAAAGAACAAAATGCTTTACTTACATAGGCATATGTCAATGTATTACTAAAGGAGGATTTATGGAATTTATATAATAATTTAGTTCCAAGATCAAGGAACTTAAAAAAAAACATATAAAACGATAATTCAAACGTTCTTTGAAATGTTACAGCTCACATTTTCCACATTTTGCATATTTCGATTGCTTTTACATGTATATATATACTTTACAGTAACATTTGTATTATCAATAGTCCCCAATTTCCTATTTTTATAGAATAGTCGTGCTTAACTGGCTTACAGTTCTCAGTATATTTAATATGTTTTATTTGAGTGATGTATTAAAGAACAAAATGCTTTACTTACAATGAGCATATGTCAATGTATTACTAAAGGAGGATTTCTGGAATTCATATAGATATATCTCAATGGAAAGTTTGTGTAAATGAGAACAAAATAACGTCGTGTCAATGATAATTACTATGTATTTCACGTTGGGGGCAAGAGGGGGGGGGGGGGTCAAAAAGTTTTAGATTTTGAATACCAAGTGGCAAATCGTGTGTCCATTGATGGAATGATGGGGGGGGGGGGCAGGTCTGGACAGGATAAAATACAGTTGAAAATCACCACAGAGACCGAGGGCGGGATGTTATCGCAACTGACTCCTCTTCGTCTCACCCGTTTCCCCTTCTTGTTTACCCCTCCCTCTCTATTTCTCTCATTTGTCCATTTTATAGGCGAGGGTGGGAGAGGGGGCGGGGAGGCGTGCTTATCACGCCCCTCTGGACATTGCGTGACCATGTTCCTAGACGTCATGATTCCGTTAGTATTTTGTCCCACCCCAGGTGCCGTTATCGCATACTAGTCATGTTAAATAGAAGAGTTTTAAAATAGTTCATAACAAAAAATTGAAAGCCATCAGATCTCGTTATTTAGTTTTAATGCACTTCGGTTAGATGTCATGTTTATTACTGTCATTAGAAAAGAAAGAAAGTTCTTAAATTCTTTATAAGACACTAATGTTATCTAACGGGTTATAACCAATATATATGTATTGTTTGTATTCTACGTGTGATAGAGAAATGGCGATACTTTTTTCACTCTGTAACTGGGCCGTATCAAAGATGATCTTCAGTTAATACCTCGTCCATATAGTCTCATCATGGTCGTGAGATGTTGGCCTCAAGAGCTGTTGGCAAATTTACATCCATAATGCAAAGAAGATTTGTGGTGTGAAAGTGTCTGATAAAAAGAACACAAATGAGCTATTGAAAAGGTAGCTGTGGTGGAAGTGGTTAATCGAAGTGGAGGTGGATGGGTCATGTGTAGGAAAGGGATGCTAATGAACATGTACAAACACTATGTGATCTGGAATTGGATGGCAAAAGAGGAGAAGGAAGACCCGGTGTCTTATGAAGCGAAATGAGGAGGATGCTCCAGATAAGAAGAAGTGGCGCGTGGGAAAAATAACAGTATTTTAAGTGAAAATGTCTTTCATCTTGTGTAAATTGGAATGTAATTGTATTTTAACAGTTATTTTAGGTACTCGATTAGAAATGATTTTTTTTTTGTATGTGCGTACTATGGAAATGTAATAATGAAAATTGCCTCCTTTTGGAGGAAAATTTGGAGAGAATGAATCGACGTATTACATGATTGCGTAAAATTAGAAGTTTTATAAATAAAGATATTTACTTTACGAAACGATATTGATTGTACGTGAAGCAATTCTTGGAAAATTATAACCTCATTACTTTTCATCCTGGACTGTAGATAAAGATAATACATGGCATCACCAAACTCTGAATTCTTTCAACAAAAAAAGATTTTCTCCCTTTCCTAACGAAATAGTTATTACTATTATCAAATTATTTAAGCGAAGAGGGCGGTATGTGTCTGTTTTTATCTTATAAATTCGGAACAATAAATTATTTGTATAATGACCTTTGACCCGATAGTTCTTTCATTCGTCATCCCACTGTCCCGATTCATTTCAAATACTTTGTGCGCAGCCAGCCGAATAACAGTACTCTTGAAAGGCTTTGTGTAGATATAATGGCCAGACTAGTGATCAATTGAAAATCGTAGCTGCGAAAATATTTTCACACCATCTGAAATATACATGATAACGTCAAAAACACGACTGTGTCTAAATATAGTAGTTGTTCTTTGCTCATTGTATTGTGTTTCTTTGTGGAAACGGTGAAAAGCGTATCGGCTGCTCAATTGTTGTTTTGCCAGATACTATGCAGGATGGATATAAAAGTAAGCTCAGCTTTGATGTACATATGTCAGAGGTTTATAGTTTAATGTATTTCAATACATTTAGGTATGCACCAAATCATATAGGGTTAGTTGTAAGCCAGTAAATGAGAAGATATTACTTGGTTGGCTTGTAAATAATTTGCTGTTGACTTTATTTCTCATTTCAATAAAAAGAGCCAGAAAAAAGAACTTTAACGGGAGAAAGGAAAAAAGATACTAAAATTGAAAAATATAAACAGTATAAACTGAGAGTAAGGATTCATGTCATGAATGTTTCAACATAGGCCTTCGGTTTTCATATGGATAACTACTATGTTACATAAAGGAAAAGGTAAGAGAAACATTAAAACACAAATCACACACTGACAAATGACAATAATTGATTCAGTCTGTTTAATTTTAGTATGTTATTTGATAAAATCTGTCAATCTTGTTACCATTCGATGGGGGGGGGGGGGGAGGGAGTAGAGGGTCATGCTGTACTGGGTTCCAGAGTTCCGAAGGGGGAGGAGGGTGAGCAATAAGTCACAACAATTTAAGTAAATTGAAACATTCCTCGTTAGTTGAAATTTACATTTCATATTTTTTTCTGTATGTTCTGGTTTTGTCAGAACTGTTCAGAAAAATGTGCCAACAAAAAATCATCCGGGTATTAACTATGATCATTCATTCGGAGAAGGAATATGTTAACATTATTTGAAAACCTATTCCTTACGTGTTCTTCCAGTCTAATCAAATTGAATACCCAAACCAACAGATTCAAAAGTTCAAAGCCGAAAATTATTTAATTTTTTTTACCAAAGGTGTATTGCCCCCTTATGTCTAACCCATGGTCTTTTATTCGTAAAAACTAAAACTGACATAGAGGGGGGAGGGGGGATGTGACGGACAAGGAAGCATACTGTAAAATGTGCTTACGTAATACCAACGCAATACAGATTTTCTACAATATTTACTTGAACAGTTTGAAGGGAATCGTGCGAGGGGAAGTAGCGACCGAGCGAGAAGATTTTTTGCATTTGTATTAGTCTAAACGTTTCAAACTTGGGCCCTCCAGAGCCTAAAAGTGTGTTACAGTCTTTAGTCAGTATTTGTTATTCATTTTTTCTTTCTCACTTTTTCAAATTTTCCGGGGGGGGGGGGGAGGGGACGACCCCCCCCCCCTTCAAAAAATAAGGGGGACGTGGAAGCTTCCCCTGTCACACCCCAAACTGACACCATGCCGACTCCACACCGACTGATTCCTGACTATTTGTGACAATATAATGTGCCTTGAAGGGTGTATATGTAGTTTATTTTTCTTTTGCTATTAACAAAATATGTATACATGAACCTTGTAAGTTTGAGCATCCAGGGGCCCTATTTAAGGCAATTGATGTTGTCCGGAAGCTAAGGAGTTTCATGTATTCGATTACGGTCAGATGAGCATTTAGGGGGCCCGCCTTAGGGTCCTTAGTGGGGGTCCAGGGGGCAGAGCCCCGGAAGCTCAGGGGTTTTAGGTATTTAATTACGGTAAGATGAGCATCCAGGGGCACTATTTAAGGCAATTGATGTGGTCCGGAAGCTAAAGGTTTCAGGTATTTGATTTCGGTCAGGTGAGCATTCAGGGGCCCGCCTTAGGGCCCTTGGTGGGGGTCCAGGGGGCAGAGCCCCCGGAAGCTCAGGGTTTTTAAGGTATTTAATTACTTTTTATCTTGGACTGTAGATAAAGATAACACATGGCATCACCAATTCTTTCAACAAAAAAAGATGTCCTCCCTTTCCTAACGAAATAGTTATTACTATTATCAAATTATTTAAGCGAAGAGGGCGGTCTGTTTTGATCATTTACATTCGGAAAATTAAATTATTTGTATAATGACCTTTGACCCGATAGTTCTTTCATTCGTCATTCCGCTATCTCAATTATTTTCAAATACTGTCTGCGCAGCCAGCCGAATAACAATACTCTTGAAAGGCTTTGTGTAGATATAATGGCCAGACTAGTGATCAATTGAAAATCGTAGCTGCGAAAATATTTTCCCATCAGTTGAAATGTACATGATAACGTCAAAAACATGACTGTGTCTAAATATAGTAGTTGATCTTTGGCTTTGCTCATTTAATTGTGTTTCATTTTGGAAACGGTGAAAAGCGTATCGGCTGCTCAAATGTTGTTTTGCCAGATACTATGCAGGATGGAATTAAAAGTAAGCTCAGCTTTGATGTACATTGTGTCCAGGCACGTAGCCAGAGTTGGATGTTTGGGGAGCACCTACATGTAATCGATCGAGGTCAAAAAAGGGGTCTAAAAAAGTTCAACCGATCATGGATTTTTTGTGGGGGGGCACGTCCCCCCCCCGTGCGCCCCTCCCCACCCCCCTCGTGGCTACGTGCCTGCATATGTCATAGGTTTATAGTTTAATGTATTTCAATACATTAAGGTATGCACCAAATCAAAATTACCAAAGGTGTATTGCCCCCTTATGTCTAACCCATGGTCTTTTATTCGTAAAA